TATTAGCTCAAAAGAATTACACACTACCGGAGGATGCACCAAAATTCGGTGTACCTCACCGTTATCAGCCACTCAAATAACGGAAAAAGGAAAAAAAAAAGCACCGCTTATTTTTTACTATTATTACACATCATCTGCTTGAACTCCTCAAAGCTAACGTTACCGTCACCATCAGCATCAACGGACGTGATCATTCTAGTACAATCCTGAATGGTACAATTCTGGCCCAAACGGTTCAGGATCTGGTGAAGCTCCGCAGCAGAAATCAAGCCGTTATGGTCCTGATCGTAAAGGTCAAAAGCTTCCTTGAGTTCCTTAGCACCGCCGTCAACGGAATCATCACTTTTGCAAAAATCTGCAAATTCCTGTAGGTTAATGCAGCCGTCTCTGTCGGTATCAATTTCAGCCATCATTCGTTCAACTTCGTCGGGTGACGTGTCGGATCCTAAGGCTTTCAATACGCCGGAAAGCTCGTCGCCGGAGATCATACCGTCGCCGTTGGCGTCGAAGCGCGCGAATACTTTTTTGACTTCCTCCATGTCTTGAAGGTAAACGGAGGGCTTGGTAGCATTGGTAGCCATTGTTGTTTTCGATTGTGTGTGAGAGAAGGAATTAAGAAAATTGAGAAAAGGCGTTATATGTGAATGGAGACGTTATAGGAATAATGGAGGGAGATATATAAGGGGGTTATATATATAGGGGGAGAGAGAACGAGAGGTGCAGAGTTTAAGAGATAAAGAGGTGTTTACTCGTGGCCAGTTGAAACGAACGGATTTGATATATTTTCCCATAAAGTAGTCGAGGAAAAAAAAATGGAAATATTTATTTATTTATTTGATTTTCCACTATATGACCAGTTGAAAGAACGGATTTGACATATTTTCCCATAAAGTGGTCTGCGAACTTTTGGTAACAGCATCAAACTTCGTTTAATACAAAAATAATTTGGGTATGGTTACATAAATTATTAACTACTAATGTAGTATTCACTAGATTCAGTTATTTTTCACTATAAATAATGTGTAGTATTCATTAGATTCAGCTATTTTTCACTATAAATAATGTGTAGTATTCATTAGATTCAGTTATTTTTCACTATAAATAATGTGTCTTTTTAAGTACATTATTTAATGCATGGTACAAGTAGTTAAATAGATAGTACTAATAGTTAGAACAGTTAAATAATATATCAAAGCCTTGTTTTTTTAAAGATTCTAACTAAAGTCTATATTTTTCTGATTTAATAAGACTTTCGATGCAGTCAATATATTTATATTAGGATAGACCGTTCATATCACATCTTTTGGGGTCCGACTTTTCCTCGGACCCTACGTAAAATAGAATAGTACTTGTATTCCATGAAACTGTCCTCTATTCTACGTTGAAATTAAGTGCTTCTTTGAGAAAATCATATTAACAGTAAGTGAATATGTAAAATTTAATTAGTATCATTAAAATCTAACAAAATGAGTACCGGATAAATGGAAGAGGAGGAAATACTCTCTATTTTTTCCCTCAAGAAGAAATACTCTGCTTCTCTCTTTTTACTTCCTACTTGTCCACTGTTGACTTTGTACTCCTTAAGAAATAATAAATAAAGTATATAATTTATTATTATTCCTATATTAATTGGTGTATAGCTTTAATAATTTGAAAAATAATTTAGAATGAGTAATTAATGCTAAAGGCTAAATCAAGGAAATTCTTTTTTTTTTTTTTTTGATATACGAAAAGTAACAAGTACAACAGAATTATCTCATACTGTACGAAAAATAATAAGTAAAAGTAAATATTTTTAAAATACTTAACAGCTAAAAGTAAAGTAAATGAAGGGAGTACGTTTTATTATGAAAATGGAAAGGCAGCAGAAATTGATGAAGGGAAACAAAGAGGAAATAGTCCCCAAAAGATGGGGCAGTGTTGGCTCTGCGACAAGTGGAAAACTGCATGAGACGCGTGTACGGACTTAGGCGTGTGTAAGACGCGTTGCACTCTTTTTTGGATTAAGCATTGACGAAAGCGAACTATAACTTCCGACGACGACACCACTTGAATTGATGCTGTATTAACGTAGGATCACAATTCGACGTGATATTTGGTTTGAGTTTTAAGAATGAATTTTAAGAGAAAATGGTCCCATTATAGCCTCTTAAAATTTTAATAATCCATATTGTTGATATGAAATATCTCTCCGACCCAAATATGTATCTAATAGTTCCAAGTATCTATTTTATATATTTTTTATATAATAACAGTCTATTTTATATATTTATGTATAATAATATCTATTTTGTATATTTTTTGTATAAAGACAGTCTATTTTATATATATTTAGTATAGTGACGGTATATTTAGTATGTTTTTATATAATGACAATCTATTTCGTATATATTTAGTATAGTGACAGTCTATTTAGTATGTTTTGTGTATAGTGATAGTTTATTTTGTATATTTTTATAAATTGTACAGTAATAGTCTATTTGGTATATATTTTTTGTATAGTGACAGTTTACTTGTATAATGACAATCTATTTAGTATATTTTTTATACAATGACAGTCTATTTTGTATATATTTCGTATAGTGACAATCTATTGTATATATTTTATATAGTGACAGTCTATTGTATATAAATAGTACAGTGACAGTCTATTTTGTATATAGACAATAGGGACAGCATATAATACTGTATATATTTTTTATGTTTTGACAAAATTACTAAAATTACTATCTTCAACTTTAAAAATAGACTCTTTTGATATGTTTTGATATGGTGTCATTATTTTGAAAATTGTATCCACCATAACCATGGCATAAAATGATCTTTTTTTCTATTAAAATAGCACGGTCTAGCCAGTTTTCGGACTGGTCATTCAAAAATAGCCAGCGTTTACCAAGTCAATGAAAAATAGCCACTATTTTGCTGCAATAGAGACCGGTCCAGCATAATATACTGGCAGGGGCAAAGCTACATGTTTTGAGGGTGGTCAATTGACCACCCTTCGTCGGGAAATTAGACTGCGTATATAGGTAAAATATTAGATTTTAGAGGTATATAACATATATTGAACACTCTTTGTCGGAGAATCTTTTTTACTTCTTTCAAATTTGAACACACTTGAGTAAATTCCAGGCTTCGCCACTGTATACTGGAGTTCGGTGCACCTGTGTATGAACTTCCAGCATATTATGCCGGAACCCAACACACAGAAAATTCCAGCATAATATACTGGAGATTCGAGCACTTGTGTATGAACTTCCAGCATATTATACTGGACCGGTATACTTTGCTGGAACTCCAGTATATTATGCTGGAGTTCAAGTATACTTATGCTGGAACTCCAGCATAATATACTGGCGTATTTTCCGGGTTTTGAACAGTGTTTTCGCTCAGATTTATCTTTACATGAAAAGTGGCTAAATTTCGTTTACTTTTGAAACTGGGCTATTTTTGAACGACCACTTATAAATCTGGCTATTTTTGAATTTCTCCCTTTCTTTCTCGTTTATTGCTTTTCTTAGGTACGGTCTAGCTAGGCCCTTTAAAATAAAAATATCTTGAATTATGTTTCAGTTGATCAGAAATTTGATTTGTGCATTTCAGTTTCACAACCATAAAAACAATGATTCCTGAAAATTTTGCTTTGGTTCGTTGAATCATAGCCACCGAATCTAGTGGCTATGGAGTTGAAAAGTTTGAAATTTGAAAGGGAAGAGTGGCAGTGGTTTTTGGACTAACCCTTGTAATTGATTTTAGACTATTAACTGTATGGTCTATTTTGGGGCTACTGATTGTCCTTAGTTTTTCCCGGATGGCTACAAATGAAACTTGCTCTTTTAATTAGTTGCAGAAAACCAAAAGAATTATTATTCCCATTGTTCCTATTTTTTTACTAATTCTTTATTTTTTTTTTAAAACGCTAAAATCTGAAACCAATAAGGCTTATATTAAACTTTTTGTTGTTGTATATTTAAGAAACTGACTAAGTTGAGTTGATATTTTAACAAGAATCAAATTCTATAGCAAAAAAACATCTCAAAATTGCAGATCGAAATACTCAAGTAGTCATTAGTTTATAGAGCAAATATAATACGTAATACATGATTAGTTTGCCAAAATTACTGCTGAATAAATAATTTTAAATTTAGCCTCTCAACTTGAAATCTAAAGGTAGAATGTATTCTTCATTTATATAGTGCATTTCTCCTTACTCAACCAGTAAAATATAGGATTGATAGTGTAAGAAAATTTTACACTTTGTATATAAGTTAAATTCATAAAGTAATTAAATCAATATGACAAGCATTGATTATTCGTAGTAGAAAATAGAAATGGCGTGGGATAGCCATTTTTTAATATGGTATTTAGTTTTTATCCAGTATTTTTGATGCTGAGCAAAAATAACCACTACTCTATTAAAATTAATACGAAAATACGTTTTTACCCTTTTTTCATGAGTGTTGTGTAAATTAAGGACATAGTGTCCTTAACATTTACACTGCACACATGAAGTTAAGGACGCCGTGTCCTTAACATTTACACTGCACATATGAAGTTAAGGACATGACAGGACACTTTGTCCTTAATATTTACACAGCATTCATAAAGTTAAGGACACCATGTCCTTAATATTTACACATCACCCACGTCTAGCACAGGGGTATTTTTGTCCGGGCGGATCAAAATTTATCAAGCACTGGTTAAAGAATAAATACATTTTAAACAGTGGCTAAAGAGTAAGGACATTTCGAATTAGTGGCTAACTGTACACTTCCCCGAATAATGGTCTGCTACCTACTATTACGGGTCAAAATAAATTGATAATGTAGAGAATCTTTGTTTCATCAAATATAGATCATTTCTACATATGTGGAAAAAAAATTACAGTAGTTACGAAGAGAGTATATTGCTAAAGTCATCTTTTTATCTTGTTAAGGTGACTGAATGACTTTGATGACCAATTACCACAAGTTAAGTGATTATTTAGGTACTCGTTATGATTTATGAAGGTAATAAGGCGGCGCAAATAGCAGCCGAATTAAAAAGAGAATTTCCTCTCCAAGAGGGTGGACCAATACATAATTTTTTTTCCTTGAAGAATAAGATTCAATCAAACAGCACATTGATATTTATCCCTAGAGGCAGGTAAATGATATTACATAGGATAACACCACAATATTTAGTACTAAACCAAGAAATTCAGATTTTAGTGCATAAATTAACAGAGGATATAATGCACTTGGACAATCATGATCACTTCTTGGCAATGAACAAACCCCATCTCTGCTCACCAGATGAAGTACTCCTGATTAGCTTGGCCTTCCAACCTCCAACTATATCATTGTAGTCTTTCTGTAAAGTTAAAATCAGAAATAAAATGAGACGAAATCATATATCAACAATCATTAGACATTACAGTATAGGTGCATAATACTATGATAATGTACTCACTTCAGAAAACTCTTGGATAAATGACTCTTTTTCCTTCTCCACAGTATCTAACTCCTTCTTTAGAACTTTAATGAACTGCAATCCAAGTAACAGACACTTTAGGTTTGCATCAATGTCTTCAAAATGAAACATGGGGGGGGGGGGGGGGGGTGAAGAGTTTTTAAGTTCTATATATGCCACACCTGTTCAGTTCGATCCTCGGCAACAACTTCATTGAAACCAGCATCTCTGAGCATCTATATTGTGAAATTATAAAGAAGCTCTATCATTCTAAAACCACTAGCAAAGAAAGAGGATGGGAGTTTGGACACATTAACTGTATGAGTCAAATGTATACCTGGCCATATGCTTCAACATCATGTAAATCATAACCTCTTTGCTTGATATACTCTGCAAATTCTTCTGATGCTGGTCCTGCCTTTTTGCAATAATCACTAATGAGGACTTTGCCTCCAGGCTTCAGCCACTTATAGAAAGATCTGAACAACGCAGGTTTGTCCTGTAAACACACCATTGTTCAACCGTTAGGCCGAATATGGCTATCAAACTATTCATACTGGAGCTAAGATCAGGTTGAAGATAACTAGTCGGTGACAATATTGAAGCTTCAAATTAAGACAGAAAATCACATCCGAATAGCAAGATTGCTAATTACCTGGATGTGAAGGATAGTGTCCCGGCTGTATATCACATCAAAAGTTCCCTCAGGATACGTTTTCGTTGTGCAATCAGCAACCTCAAATTCAACCGCACATTTGCGACCAATAGCACGCTCGAAAGCCAAAGAGATCATGTTAACTGAGAGGTCAATGCCAACAACATAAACATCATACTTCTCAGCCATGTAAAAGTCACCTCCACCGATACCACAGCCAACATCAAGGACTTTTTGACCAGGCTGAAGATCCAACATGGCAACAAATTCTCTGGTAGTGTCTGCTCAAGAAAAAAAACAGAATCAGAGAACGTTAGATAAATCCTAGGACTAAATAAACGTTTTTGGAAAGAAAGAACTAGAACAACAAACTTGCAAATTGATATCTTAAGAGAACCATACCTATTCCTCCAGTGCTCACAAAGCTATCTCCAAAGACACGTTCATATCGGAGTATGCCATTAGACTTGTACTGAACAGTGTCCAAGAAATGCTGGAATCCCCTTTCATCTGCCGAATGAACCTTTTGCCATATCCAGCAAATCTGCAAGTCGCCAGCAGCAAGAACACATTGATTGAAATGTCTGGTTTATTTTATATAACAAAAGGGGTAATGAGGATAGCAAAATTATACCTCATTTTGATTCTTTTTGGTCCTTGCATAAGCTCCAATGCACTTAAAACCAATGAGTGAAAGTTCATATGATTTTCCAGCAGCGTCATTTAAATTGCATTCATTGAAAACCTGCAGTAAGTTATAATCAGAAGAATATAACAAAATAACCGACTCAAGTAGTTTAATTTAAGCAAAGAAAACGCTTATGACTCTTTTGGAGTGACATTCACCTGCATGCAATCTTTCATTTTGTTATAAACCAAGGACTTGAATGACAAGATGACTAGACAAACTGGTAATTGAGCATTCATCATTAACTTCCAACGCACTTATGACTTAAAAAAAAGCTATAAACTTAATGTTAATTTTTTTATTTAAAGTTGCAGGAAATATCCATTGCAAATTTGCTACGAAAGGAAAGAAAGAAAGAAAATATGCATAGAAGCATTGTTGAGTGAGAATGGAAAAGCACTTTTTGGATGACCTTTGTATAGAACCTAGGTTCTCGATAGTGTGTGGGGTTGTTCTTTCGCTTGTTGTCTCCTGATTGACCGAAGCAGGTCTCTCTAAAAAATATATGGCCACCAACTTTCAACCATTTGACCATTCTCTCTGCAAGGTCTTGAACCTGCAAAAGGGGAAGTTTTAATGTTAAATAGTAATCAGTCAAATTGGAAATGCAAGAAAAATGCATGAAGAGCGTGGGAGATCCTTAGAAATTCATTTTACTATAATCATCATCCATGGTAGTTGTTCCTATCTACATTTGGAGTAGACTACTAATCTAAACTGTTGCTTTGTTCGGAAAACTTTTACACAAATTCTCCAGTTCCCTACAGGAATGAGTGAAACCATAGCCAAAATTTTGAGCCTTAAAATGCTTTCCAGCTCCAAAACTATGGATGAACAGATGACAGGTTATATAACCTGTAGCACATTATTCTTATTTTCAGCCATCCTACTGTAAGCATGTTCTGGAATAGGTGCTACATCTTGATGCTGATATATGCTGGTCCGTTGTTAGATGCAGACACTGCAAAAAAAGTTATTGGACATACTTCGGACATGATGTTAACATGAAATTGATCAAGCATGTCATTTAAATATCATGTGTCATTGACATAGTTTAGCATGTGTCTATCATACTTCTTTTTTTGCCCAATCATGACTTTTACGCAATCCTCCTACGAAGAAGGGGTGCTAACAAAGTTTGCCTAGAAGGAACTTAAGTTTTGAATATTTGTCTTTCATTACTTACCATGTCATAGGCTTTGTGTCATGCCTCCCAGGTTTGAGCTTACAAACAATTTATTGGCATCAATTTGTGTAGCATGAAATCTTAGTGAACTTTTCAGGCAAGAAGCAGGGAAAAAAAAAAGATACCTCTTTGTCAGAAAGATACATCAGCAGCCAGTTAGAAAATATCAAATCTACAGATTCAGGTGAAAACGTCAAATCTGGTGAAGTCACATCAGCACACATAAACTTGACATTTTTGTGGTGCCCATTGATGCTTTCATTCTGCAAATAAGCAAATTAATTGATAAGCAAGTATATGAAAATCCATTCACTAGATTTATCAACATTTATCTAGCTTGAAGCACAACAAGTGAATCTCGGAACCAACTCATTCACAGGTTCATATAACAAAAACAGAAAATTCAAACGTCTCAAGGGTAAAATGCCTCGAACCTTCTTAATCACGTCTTCAACAAAGTCCAACGCTGTAAGTTCCCCAGCCTTCTCGGCTAAATCCCCAGTGAAACGGCCAATACCAGCACCCAGTTCTAGCACAGATTTCCCTTCATATGAGGGGAGCAGTGAGAGCACCTACATGGCCATCCACAAGTCTCAAATATTTAAGTCGATACCAATACATTTTCTTGCAGCAAGTCATGTGATTTCACAAAATGAACCATCACAAAAAAGTGATATAACAACCTTTTGGACATATAGCTATATCAGATAGAAAGACAACTCAATGAAGTCATAGGTTCTCACCCTCCAAAAGGAGGGGTTGTAATTAGCAAAACACATCAGTCAAAAACTTTAAAAAAAAAACCACCATGTATAACCATAAAACTTTGTTAATGTAAGTTGGTTTTGGATAAAAATCCTTATTCTAATTATTGAAGCTCAAATTTCCAATGCAACTAAGCTGCATATAATATGCAGGATCAGCATTATAACTTCGGAGCAAGCCTCCAATAAACATAATTAAGAAATAAGCTGAATGCATCAGCAAAATGATTGGCAACTATGAGTGAAACAAATTAGAAACACACTAAACCTTTATCAGTGTTCCATGATACTAGAAAAGCAAGTATAATCAAAAGAGGAACACCCTTTATAAATTCATACTCAACTATGAAACAGAGGAACAATCAGGTGTTGATTCTGAACTCCTCAAGTAAAATAGCAAAATTTCACATTTAACAAGTCTTGATCAACTGTTATTTCATTGGACAAGCATGGTCTTTCAAATGCTAATTAAGTTTAGATGCAAAGGATAAATTCTCTTATAGAATATTCCATGAAAATGACTCAGAACAAAGAGCAAATTTATAAATTTAGACAACGAAACTAGGAAAGAGTATGGTTGGTCCAAAAAGAGCTGGTTTTTACACAATCAAGACCATATTAATGGTCGCGGAAGCAATTGAGAAAAAAAAATCAAAAAAACAAGCAGAAAAATGTACCTCAGTTCTATCCTCTTTGTCAAGATCAGATGCTTCTGAGTCAAGCATCATTGCCTCCAAAGTGAGTTCTGCAGCTTGCTCCATCCAATAACTCTTTTGAATCTCACGCTCTTGTTCTAATACACACCACATTAATTCATGATCAAAACATTAGCAGATGTCAAATTAAACAAAAATCCACAAACCACGAAGTTTAATTGTGTGCAGACTCTCATCTAAAAACATACTCCCTCAATCTGTTTTAATTTAGATGACACATTTTACTTTATCACATTTCATTATTTGAAAATACTTTAACTTTAAAAACTTTTCATTTTACCAACTTCAACCTTAATGGGAAGCTTTTATCGCCACAAAAATGAAACTTTTACCGCTTAAGCTTTTAGGACCACACGTTTCAAAAGTCTTTTTAACTTTTTCTTAAACTTTGTACCAAGTCAAACTAAATCATCTAAATTAAAAAGGAAGAGTAATAATTAGAGACATCAAACATTTATTTATCTTAATCTGCAACACGTCCTCTATGTATGATATGATAAATTTAATTCGGACCAATAAATGTAGAAATATTTTAGTTAAATGGGTGACATAAAGACTGAACTCTAGACTTCTACACGTCATATTAAACCGTATGTATTATCTCGTTTAAAAGTATAAGTTAATAAAAGAATGAACATTTCTGTTACCTGGAGCAGCAGCAATATCAATGGCAGCCATGGTTGCGATAACTGTTTGATTAGAAACTTGTGATCTTTCAATTGCAGCTAAAAGCCTTCAATAGCAAGGCGAGATCTAGAAAAGGACCTCGATTTACAATTACAGCTTCTACCTCTCTGCTGCATCAGCTAACCGCAAAATGCTATGAATTTGGTTTGCGGTGGCTTGCTTCTTTATAGGCGGGCGACGACAAAAGCACTGAAAAGAGAACTCTAGTGATCTTTGTCTATGATAGTTAAATATATTTAGATTATTAAATTAAGTTATTTTATTGCATTTATAGTTATCACATATTACTCCCTCCGTTCCGAAAAATTTATTGTATTTACACTTACAAGTTACAATGTCTGGTACACGGTAAAATTCGACTTTCCTGTTATATGTTGTTATAACGTAAACAGAGGCGGATCAAGTATTTAAAGTTTATGGGTTCCTGTAACGATTTCGAGTAAATTTTAAATAGTAAATATTGAGAGCATAGCAAGCTGACGTGTAGTAGGTAGTTAGTTAGCTAATGAGTTGGTTATTTATGTTAAAAGTAAGCTTAGTTAGTTAGAGTACTAGTAACTGATATGTGTATGTATATGAGGTACACCTCATTATTGTAGCATGCAGAAGAAATGAGAATCTCTTATATTTCTCTCCAAGTTTTCTTCAATTCTTCTCTCTCTATACTCTATCAATTTCACTTTCGTTCACTAATAAATTTGACATGGTATCAGAGTCTATTGCTCGAATCTAAATCGCTCAATTGTGTATTTGATTAGTTCGAGTTCAACTGCTCAAGTTCTGTATCTACAAGTGAAGCTCAACCATGGCAGAAATTGATAATGAAGTTCCTGAGAAGCTAAGTCACAATCATCCTCTGTTCCTGAATTCAAATGATAATTCTGGAGCAATTTTGATCTCACTATAACTACGAGATCCGGAGAATTACTCGGTGTGGAGTCGAGCAATGAGAATAGCCATTTTAGGGCGAAATAAGCTAGGGTTTACAGACGATACTTGTAAGCAAGGAAATTATGGTCCAAATCTAGTGGAACTGTGGGAGAGATGTAACATCATAGTGCTATCATGGATAATGAACTGTGTATCGCCTGAATTACTCAGCGAAATTGTTTACTCCTCAAATGCGAGTGTTGTGTGGAATGATCTAAAAGAGAGGTTTGACAAGGTTGATCTCTCTAGAATTTTTCAGATTCATAAGGACATTGGTATAATTAATCAGGGTACTAGCTCAATCTCTTCCTATTTATCAAAATTGCATCTACTATGGGCTGAGTTTGATAGTCTAGCTCACGTCCTTGGGCGTGACTGTGAGAAATCGCGTGAATTTATTGTGTTCATGGAAAGGTTGAAGCTTCTGTAGTTCCTTATGGGGCTAAGTCTTATGAGCAAACTAGAAGTCAGCTGCTCATGATGATACCAGCTCCCTCTGTTAACAAGGCTTACTCTATGATAATGGAAAGGGAAAGCCAGAGGGCAATTACACGTACAAGTGTGCCTATAGAGAATCCTGATGTTACTGCTCTTGTATCTGCTAGAGGTGGATTCCATCAGAAACCTAGAAAATTTTTTAACCTTATTTATGACTACTGCAACTACAAAGGGCATACAAGAGAGAACTGCTTTAAACTGAATGGTTATCCTGCTGATTTCAAGCACAAGAAGAAGGGAAGCTCATTTTCTACAGCTAACTTTGCAAGAAATAATGTTGGTTCTGGAACTAATACTGGATCACTGATGAATACTATTGGCAGTCAGGATCCCTTTTTAGCAGCTAATTTTGCAGGTAACAACAGTGGAGGAAACCATGATGATAGTGGCAAAACTCAGCTGATAACACCACCTCTCTCACCACCTTACTTTACTCCAGAACAGTACCAACAAATTTTACAGATGCTTGGTAAAGGGAATGAAGAAACAGGCTCTACTCAACCAGCAGCAGCATGTATATTTTCATTCCTATCAAGTATAATTGGTGATAGGTGGATAATTGATACTGGAGCTACTAATCACATGGTAGAAAACTCTAGTTTGTTGAATAAATTGGACAAATAATCTAGTCTAAAAGGTGGAAAGGTGCATCTACCAACTGGTAATGTGGTGTCAATTTTAAACACAGTGACATCTAGTATATTCAGGGATCAGGAATTACAAAATATGCTGCACATTCCTGACTTCAAGTTTAATCTTTTGTCTGTGTCAAAGTTGACAAAGGAACTGAAATGTTGTGTGGCATTTTTTCTTGACTTTTGCCTCTTCCAGGACCTCTTCAGTGGGCACGAAAGGGGAATTGGTAGAGAAGGTTGTGGGTTGTACTATCTGAAGCCAACTCCTACACAACTTCAACTACCAGCACAATTACAACTACAAAAGTACAGAGAAGTTTGCAATTCTATGTCTGCTAATGTGCCATTATTTGTATGGCAGACTAGGTCATGCTCCTTTAGATATACTCAGAAAAATAGAGTCCTTGAAACAGTTTAAACTAGATAAAAACCATCACCGCACTGTATGTCCACTTGGAAAACATTCAAAACTCTCTTTTCTTATCAGCACTACTAGTTCAAATAAACCTTTCCAGCTAGTACATAGTGATGTATGGGATCCTTATAGAGTACCTACACATGATGTTAAGAGAAACTTTCTAACACTAGTGGATAATTTCTCCAAGTATACTTGGATATTTTTGTTGAATAATAAAACTGAAACCTTTGTTATTGTGAAGCAGTTTCTAGCTTTAGTAAAGTATATGTTCTATTCTAATGTTCAGATCTTGAGAACAAACAATGGCTGTGATTTTTTTAACTCTCGGTTTGATGAGTTTATTAAGAAAAATTGTATTGTACATTGTGAGCACGTGATTTTTGTCCTAAGTGAATTACTCCCAAAATTCAAACAAAATAATTTCTTTCATTATTTTACAATTTTGTGAATTTTGTGTTATTTTCTGTTAATTGTTTTCATTTTATTTATGCATTTTAATTCATATGAAAAATACAAAATACTTGGCACTTGCATTTATGGTTTTATTTCACCTTTTAGGATTAATTAGTGTCCTTTTTGTATTTTTAGTTTTAATTTATTTTAGTTTGCATTTAAATAGGGAATTTGTATAATTGGAAATGTGGAAGTATAATTTTTGAGTCAATTTGAGTTTTGGTTTTTAATTTAGCATTTAACAAATTCAGAAAATAAAATACAAATAAATATATAAAATACAAAAATGAAAACAAAACAAAATTGAATAAAGAGAAAATAAAAAGGGAACTAAAAGAAAAGAGGGCTGCTCTCATTAGTCACAATTGGGCTATTTCTTCAGCCCAGAATCACTCCACACCCAAGCCCAATCGAACCCTGACCCGGTCCAGCCCCATGCCACTAAAACGACGCCATTTCACGTCATTGGATCTCGGCTGTCCATCGTTTTTAATCCAACAGCCCAAGATGGATCTTGATTTCACATAAAACTGTCCAATTAATTTCAAAACCCTAAAAAACATAAGTTGCCTTCCTCGTACACTCTCTGTATTTCGCCGGAGCCGCCGCCGCCGGCGAACACCATCATCGCCGTTCACTCCCAAAATAACACCCATGATTCTCCTTTTCCTCCTCTGTCCGAATTCATAATCCATTTCTCTCGAATCTCATCCCAGGCCTTCGAATTTTAAATCTAAACTTTCCGGCCAGGACGCTACTTCGTCCAAATCTCTCCAAATTAACACCATAGGTTCTCCTTACCATCTTTTGCCTGAATCTTCAATTAGTTATCTTCAAATCATCTCCAGGCGTCTCGAAGTTTGAGTTAAAGTTGGCCGGAAACCCTAAGTTCTCTAAAAAACGGCCAAGTTTGGTACTGTATGGTCTCTTCTCTTCCCTCGTGATGAATTCAAGATTATGGGCCCTCGAATCTCAATGGAATCGGTCGAGCTTTTGAGTTTGGGAACCCGCCAGTGAGCGTATTTTTATTTTTTCCAGCCATGTTATTCTAGTTGTTCCAAACTTTGATTTAGTTCAGTTCTCACTTATATTTCTTTTAATTTGCTAGTTAGTCTATCAGTGTTGGTTTAAATTGATTCTTGTTTAGTCTTGTTTATGTCAAGTCTTAGCTGATTAGTTCAATCTTAGTTTGTTAGTTTTAGTTCAAATTAGGATTAGTTTTCAATATGTTGGTAAGTCAGAGATTAGGGGTTTCTTTGGTTATAGCTGTAGTTTTAGATTAATTTCAGGGGGCAAATTGGGTATTTGGGATGGGAGAATCATGTTCTAGTTAGTGCTAGAACTCCCTAGATCTTTCTAGATAGGGGTATGCTGAGAATTGGAAGTTTAGAGTATTAACTTGTGACACAAGTCAATAAGTAAGGGACTATTCTGAAAATAACCTAGCGACTAGAAGGCAAACACAAAATCTGAAGGCTGCCCTCACTTTGCCTATAAAAAGGCATGCCAATGCTTTGAATGAGGAGGTTTTTGCAGCCATAAAAAATTCCCCCAAAAAATCAGTCTTCAGATTTCTAGCTGAATTTTGAATTTCAAATTCAGTCTTAGATCTAGTATTTCAAAAGAAAAACCAAAAACAATAGAAAACCGTCCAAAATCAAAAAAAGAACCTACTGTTTCATTGAAAAGCTGCAGATTGATTCTGATTTCTAGTGAATCATTTCACATTTTCCAGTTTTAGTTGAGTTTGGGGTTTACTGAAGTGATTTGGTGCATTTTCAAGTAGATTTGGTATTAGTCAAGCTAGTTTGATTGGTTTTCCTGTTTGATTTGGTGTCCGTGCTTTTACTGGGTTCAATTAACGTTATTTCTGGGCTGGTTATTACGGATTCCTGCTGCTGACTGCTCTGCTGTTGCTAACTTCCCCTCCTATTCGTTGTATTTCCAGGTACACAGTTCGAATCTGGTCATTGTAGCTTTTGGAAATGGAAATGAAATGAAACATTTGCTCAATTGCTCCTGGAATTCTATATGTTTGTATTATATTGCATCAACAGTTGAATAGGCATCCAATGTATTAGTTTAATATAATTCAAATGCTGATAAACTCTAGGCTGCTTTTAGCTTGAGAACCTTTGAGTCAATTCAATGTATTCCTGGAAGAATGTGACTTCTGTGGTTAACATGTTTAATTAGGTATAGTTCGTGTATCTAGAGTAGTTGTGGAATTCCAGTAGGCCTTCATATGAGCTTAACTGGATTGTG